TGGTGATAGGCGGGAGTACCGTAACGGTACGCGCCCACGGCAGCCAGTTGGGCGTTGTATGCCTTGAAGAAGGCATTACGCGCGGCGCTCACCTCGTAGGTATCGGATACCGGGGTGATGGTACCGTCGACGCCCGCCGGGACGGTGGCTGCCACGGGTCCGGTCCACTTCGGCTGGTAAGGAGCGCCGTACACGCCGTAGCCTCCGTAGTTGGCCTGCCAGGTGGAGGCGGAGCACACTCCCAGCACTGCCAAAATTACCTGCGAAAAATGCATTGTCAGACGTTTAAAGAATATATTCAAAAGTATACATTGTCATTCCTGAAGCCATGCATAGTAAATATTCTTTCCCTGTAAAGACAGATAAACAAATAATAAAAAATCACAAGACCTGTAACACCATCTCATACCCTTACTATCTATATGCTAACAAGAACTTTTTACTTTACATTATATCGGACAGCTCATGTCCCATGACCTTCGCCAGTTGCATCACGCACAAAGAAATATAATATTTTTCAGAACAGTTACCAGAGATTTCATGATGTCCTGCTTTGCTTGTCGTGAGTCGCACTGCATACGCTTGCCTCGTGCACAGTATTTATAGGTCCTGCATCAGGGCGACTCTGGTGGGCGTGGCTTGACCCTGGATCAGCTGAGGAAGAGATGGAGCATTCTGAGTCAGCATTTATCTGCAAGCGATTTTATGGTTTGATGACCCCAATTATATATAATATCCATAGTTTCCTAGCACTTGGAGGGAATGACTCAACCCACTGCAAAAAGGTTCAAGATAAGTTATGTTTCGGTTTGTGCTCTATCCATATTTTTTAAAAATAATCTTGTTGGGTAAATATGTTTCCCAATGATTATTACTAACGTTTGTAAAGATAAAATACAGAATAGTTCAATGATATGACAAAAGAAAGTCTCGGGACACTATGGACTTTTTTGTAATTTGTGTTGTATGACTTGGAATTGTTGAATATATTCTACTATTAACAATTTGAAATATGGCTACGATAACTCAGGGACCGAATGTTATACTCCGATAGATGTAAAACAAAACTTTTAAGATATATAAATGAGTAGTTCAATCCGTGTTTTCTTAAAACGGACAATATTAACGTGCCCAAATTTCAGGTAATCCTATTAGTTTGTTGAAAAATGGAAAGATATCGATTTCCTTCCTCTGTGTGACTGAAAACAGATGAGGCTAAACCACGTGACCTCGATCGCGGATTGTCGGGCGATGCTTTGCTTCTACTTGGCAGGTAATTTTTTTGTGTGTGTCTGTTATCAGTTTGGCACAAACTTTCTGATGTGATATATATATATATATATATATATATATATATATATATATATACATACTTTTGTCTGTGTGTTTGTGTATGTATGTATACATATGTATATAAACTTATATATGTAAATATGTATGTTTCCACAATGAATTGGGGGACGTGAAACGGATACTTCCAGCGTATGTCACTGCGTGCCGTAAAAGGTGACTATAAGAACCCTTACCGACCCGCACTGAGCCAGCGAGGTAGGGAATGACCCACCCTCTCCCTATCATGATGCACGTCTCGAGCAAAAATAAGGCAGTTCCTGTTGTATTTATACATATACATATATGCATATACATGAATGCATATATATATATTATAATATAATATATATATATATATATATATATATATATATATATATGTATTATATAATATGTAATATATATACATGCATAGATATATTTTACATATATATATATATATATATATATATATATATATATATGTATATATATATATATGCGTATATATATA